CGACATATTTATGATGAAAAAAAAACATAAAGAATAGTTAAAAAAATAAACCTAAATTTATAAATTATTTTTAAAAATACAAAAGAATTGTCAAAAATGCGAAGAAATAAATTAAGAAAACAAATAAAGTAAAGAAATCGCAAAAAGTTAGAAATAAAATAAGAAGGAATGACAAAAATAAATAAAAATTATAACTTAGAAACTAAACCTAGTCATTTATATCATATAAATTTGATTAAGATATTGGCTAAAATATGAGAAATTTTTAACAATTTCCCTCCTTTTTTTGGGGAATTTTGAATTTTATTTTTCTAGAAAAATTCTCATTTCAAGGGATATTATCACAAATCCATTATTATAATATATTCATATTTGTTAATAGAAGCTCCTGGTAAGAATATATTGCTCAATATTTTTTTTATTATTTTATAAATATATATTTTTAATTTAATTTTGATTTTTTAAAAATATTTATGAATTTCTCGCTAAAATATAATTTATAGTATAATATTAGAATTTTTTAATATTACTATTATAAATTATGTTATATTTATCAGAGACCCAGGTTGGGAGTGTTTTAAATTTTAATAATATACCCTCGCCTGGCCTTTAAAATAATTTTTTTTTCAAAATTCCCGGGCCTGGCCATATATTTTAAAATCAAATATTTTAAATCGCCATTAATAATTATAAAAAATTAATATAATATATTTTAAAAAAATCCTCTCGGGCGGGGAAAAATAAAACCTAAGCAGGGCTATGCCGAATTTTTAAAAAAAAATAAATACCAGACTGGAAAGGGCAGAAATTTTTTTTAAAGAAAATATGGACATAGACGGTGCAAATGGTACCTCTGCATGCCTCTGATATTCTGAAACAAATGTCACTTTCTATTTGTTATTCTTTAAAATAGATAATAAAAAAACGAATTATAGAATGTTATCAATAGCAAGTTAAAAAAATGTGGCTTTTTCCATCAATGTGTTTAACCTTTTATCACAGCGATGCAGAGTTTTTACCCTAAAATAAAAGACTTTGATCATTAATTAAAAATAGGCCTATCAAAATCAGTATTAATTGTTAATCATTGCGAAGATTACGAATATGAATTAAATGTTAGATTTTAATATAATAAATTAGAATAAAATTTTGAAAAATAATAAATTTAAAATCATGTGAATTATTCCTTAATTTTTAAAAATATATGAACACATTAATTGTTTTCTAAAGCTCCTAAGAATAAATTTTTTTTGCAATAATTCAAGCTGAGGCTTATCAATTTTAAGCTCTTATAATTACCTCTATTATACAACAAACATATTATAATTTAACTATATTAATCTATGAAAGGTATAAAAACGTCGTCAAAAAACCAAAGTATATTATATATTATTCAATAATCTCTAAAGGATGATAAAACATTTTTTAACAATAATTATATTTTATTTAACATGAGATGATATATTATTATTTAATAACCTCAATTTTGAATAACATATCTCTATTTTTGGAAACTGTAACAATTCCTCTATTAGTTTGAATCATTTTAGTCTCCAATATCTGATTCATCTAATAAATCTAATATTTATATGTTATTCACCTAAAATTTTAAAATCTTCTATCAAATTTTTTCTCGGTCCAATATTATTATTTATTTCTGAAGGTGTTAACCATCTTTATATCGACTTATCTTTTATCTCTAATCAATACAAACATTTATTTTGTATTCTCCGTATCCTCACACACCTCTCTACAACTTATTTATCCGCGATCAAATCCTACATCCAAAATCTTTGCGATTAAATTTCAATCCCAAAAGCAGTGGTATTTTTATTTTTACGCTATCATATATATTACTCATGCCAATAAATCTCAAAAATTTATTAATCATATTTCCAAATCTGCCCTTAATCGGCATTGCTATATATCATACTATGATCTTTTTTCGTGATAGTGTCCCTAATAATATTCTCATAAACTTTATTTATATCTTCCTCTGTAACCCTCCTATCTTCTTATTTAGTCTAGGTATATGGCTCTTTTTAGCTATTTCATTCATCATCATTATGTTATTAATCTCTTATTACTTTCACCTTTCGTTCCTTACAAGGAACCAATATATAATATATCCTATTTTCATATTGACACTCATATATATAATGAGGTATTTAATTTTTTCATCTAGATATTTCCGATCTTTACAAATATCTAATAAATCTTGATAGACTCCTATATCGCCAAATCTCTTTACACTATGATATTTTTCTCTTTCACTTATTCCAATAACCTTCAAATCTGCAGCCATTACGATTATCTTTTATGCAGATTTAGGTATCATATTTAATTTCCTGAATACTTCTATATCACTTTTTAAACATCTTAGTGGAACATAGGCACACAACATTCATTCAATACAATCATCATAGGTTAAATCTAACGGCCATTATTTTTACATTTTCTTATATAAATTTGATGACAAATTTCTTAAATTCCTTTCTTAGTGCTCAATCAATTTATTCTTGAACTCAGCTGCAATATTTACCTTCCTATTTTTCAATAATTTAGATTAACTTTAATTCAAACCAGTTAGAGTTATAATATTAAATACTCAAATCTACCATCAAGTGAACTCTCGTACATTTAACGTTACCATTTTTTATTTTGTTGCTCTCAATTATTTAATATATATTAATGCCCTTCCTAAATTAACTTCTACAACTATTTCTAAGGCCAAAGATAATACTCTATCCCAGAACATCACTAGAAACCTTTTAACCTATATTAATCATCCAAATCAAGATTTTGCAGGCTTGAAAATAACATGATTAAAAGAAACTGTTTATAATAATTTATGAAATCAAAATATTGTTTACCTTTTACAATAATTATTAATAATGTAATTCAATTATAATATAAAAATAAAATACCTAAAATTTTCCCACAGGTAATGGTACGATCAAATTTCCTAGATATTCAAGTATATCATTAAATAAAAACATTCACATACTTAACTAAATGAATTTACGATTGTTGATCGATAAGAACATTTCAAAATAGAAAAAATTGGAAATACAGTCTTATTATACTATAATAAACATTTAGCATTTTATGTCTTCACATTCCTAGTTTCTGTTTACTATTTTTTTAGAGATCTTTTTTTAAAATCTTTATCCTTTTGTTCTCCTAAATTATATTTTTATATTTATAGTTTATCAATTTTTTTTTTGAAAAAAAATTTTATATGCCTTTTCATTTTTATAATTATATCATATTAGTATTATTTATTCAAATAAAAAATAATAGTAGGAAAAAAGTGATAGAAATTATCATTTAGTTAATACTAATTCATAAGCTCTTTTTATATGGTTCCACAGAATATCTTTCTGTTTTCGCACATAATGATTGCTAGTTTTTATTAGATAAAAAAAATATTATCTTTTGAAACATTAAAAATATAATATATAATAGAAACTTGACATTTTAACTAAAATCTTATAAATATATATATGAAGGTCCAGATCTCGGATATAAAAACTTCAATAAGATAAGTGACATTCCACGAGAGCAGAATAAAATTATTACTAAAATTTGATTAAAGTTGTGTTGTATATGGTAAGGAAGATTAATTTTGGCAATGTATTTAGAATATAAAAATTATTAAACATCTTATTGCACATTTTCAGGTAAAATACAACAATGTTTTTAATTTAAGAAATTATATTTAGAGAATAGGCAGATTTCCGATGGGGAGGTAAATTTCCTGCCTTTCCACCCATCCATTGGTGCACCGTGTAGTCGATTGTTTATATATACGTAACAGTATATTGTACTAAGATATTTTTGAATAAGGACATTTCTCTATGTTATATTGAAATAAAAGTCCTTATAATATATTATTAAAATGAAAGTCAACATATTACCTAAACCACAGGAAAAATTCTCAATTTTTTTGAAATTTTTATTACAGTAAAGTCTATAACTAAACCTCCAGGTATACCATTATGTTTTGATAAATCTATCAACTTGTTTAAAATTATTAGTTTGATTGGAATAAAATTATTTAAAATTGTTTCTGCGCTTATTATATTTATCTTGTAATTTTTGTAGTTATCAGCAGAGCCGTGACTAAGGGAAGTCATGTGAATGGGCAGCTCTCATAGAATTTAATCCCTAAACATGGTCTTTGTTGTTTTTTTGCCTCATGAAATGGTCTCTATTTTTAAAAAAATAATTTTTATTTAATTAACCATTTAATTTAAATGAAAAAAAGCAATTGAAACTTCTAAAGGAATTCAATTTTAATATGGCTGAGTGATTTTATCTCAGTGTAAGGATTTAGGGGAACGGCAGATATTTCTTTTATCGTAGTACCAAGAGTATAATGTCTTAAATATAATTTTTAAGTTAATAATAATAATATAGTTTTTTTTAAGTAAAAATTAAAATTTCTTTTTTTTTTAAATGTAATTTTGCTTTTTTTTATATATAACAAAATATCGCCTCAGAACTAATAAAAAAAATAAACTATTTTGAAAAAATAGTAATTTAAAGAAGCATATTGAAATAACAAAATCTTTGTGAATCATCAAGTTGAGTTTAATCGATAGTATTTGAAATTTTTATTTAATTTATAACCCTTCTTTTGGTCTGGTTTTACTATAATAACTGATGCTACAGAAGTACCTTTAGTGCAATGTTCCTTCATCTGCCAAAAATTTAAAAATTATAAGATCAATACCAAAATATGCACAATACACATCACCTTAAATTCAAAATGAAGTCATATCTATTTTTTTGTATATATCCATAATTTATTACATTTAAAAGTTTTCAATAAAAATAATATAATTTTTTTTTATGAGTGTCTGACTATTTGTTTTATATGAAAAAATATTATACCTTCCATCCCAAATAAACACTGAAAATTACTAGCTATGCCTGATTATTAGAACAAATTTTACATATTTATAATGTACCTCAATTGTAAAAATAATTCACAGTTAGTACAACCACATCCACCGCAACAACCGAAGAACCTAATCATTCAGGTATATTATTATATGCATTAATATATAGTTGATCTGAGATATTTTATAACAATAATTTATTATTCTATATTTTGATGGTGAAAGTCATAAATATTTTTAATAAAAATAATATAAATTTTTTTTTATGAGTGTCTGACTACTTGTTTTAAATAAATAAATATTATACCTTCCCTCCCAAACCGTCCCACCTAATTATACCTTCCCTCCCAAACAAAACCCCCTACCCACCTAAAAATTACTAGCTATGCCTGGCTATTAGGATTTTTTTTAGATATTTATAATGTACCTCAATTGTAAAATATAATATTAAAATTTTATCACAGTTAGCATTACAACTACAACCACAGGCAACACCACAACCGAAGAACCTAATCATTCAGGTATATCATTACTACATGCATTAAGATATAGTTGATCTGAAATATTTTATAACCATAATTTATCATTCTAAATTTTGATGGGGGGAGTGAAGATTGGGAAAACATTTGATCGTTAATAAATTTTTTTTTATTTTTTTTATTAACACTTAAATGGTAGCTAATTCTATTTTGCAAAAAAATAACTAATTCAACAAATTTGTAATTTATTTGAAAATTGGAAAAAATTAACTATTTCTAAAAATATTGTTCAAATTATATGTATTTAAATATATTTTTTTTAAATTTGTTTGTATTTATATACTTCGAGGAGCCATTTTATTTATATTCAAATTAATAAAAACTTTTGCAATCCTGATTTTGGGATTCTCAATTGTTCTGGAGATAAGTCGAAATTTTGGTTAAAGTATGTTTCCATATCATATCGATTATCGAAATTTGCGAATTTAAAATTTGTAAGATCTTCTACTGGTTCGATTGTAGAAATTAAGAGGAACGCTCAGGGGATCAAGGAAATTGGCGTTTTATTTGTATCTCAAAAGTTCAGGATCGGAACGGTAATAGTTCCTGGGAATGAAACATAAATTTGAAATTTTAATGTCTATCGAGAATCTCAGAAAAATAAAAAGTTGAAAAATGCAATGGAAATTGAATTAACACACTTTTTTAATAGCGAAAAAGCTTAATAGAAAGCAAGAAAATACCTCACAGGGCTGATTAACTAATAAAAATCGTCAATAAAAATAATGGAAAAAATCTGATTAAAATATTAAAATCTAGTCAAAAAAGTAAAAAGTATTACTTAAAAAGGAAATATTTAAAATGGATTATAATATTTTTCGTCAAATTTAAAAATTTTTGTTTTTAATATTCTTTCATCTTTATCTTATTACAATTGCGGGAAATAAATTCAACCGAGCTAGAGTTTTACAAAAAACCGGCCGGTCAATGTTCATTTTTTTAAGCCCGACCTATAATATATATTTTTTTAATTTGTTTGTATTTATATACCCTTTTCGAGGAGTATTTTTATCGAACTCATATCAATTGTCGAGATTTGCTAATTCAAAATTTGTAAATTTTTCGTTGATTCGAATGAAGAAATTAAGTGGAACACTTAAACAAAAGAATTTTTTTTAACATGAGATTGGGAAATAAGGAAATTGATGTTTTATTTGTATCTCAATTGAGGGTCAGAAGGGAAATAGATCCTAGGAATAAAACATAAATTCGAAATTTTTATGTCTACTAGAGTTCAGGAAAATATTTTTGAACCCGGGTTTGGTTCCGGTTTCAGCTCGGCTTTCAGAATTTTTGAATTGATAAAAAAAATATTTTATATTTAAATCTTAATTAAAAATGAGACCTAAATTTGATATAAAAAATAAATTTTTTATTTTATTTATAAGCAAAATATATTTAAAAATACAATGCATAGTCATATATCAATTTTAGTAATTTTATTTAAACGTATTTCTTTAAATTAACAATATCCAATATATTACTTTGACTTGTTCACTTTCATTTTCCTCTAATTAATAATCTTTGTAAATAAGTTAAAAATTAAAAATAAATGGCGTAAATAAATTTAATTGTTTGAAATTTATTAACAATCTAATAGGAATCTCTGAGAATAAATTTTATAAAATTTAAAAAGGAGTAAATGAATTAAGTTGTTAAAATTTATTAACACTTCACTATTGGAAATTTGAAAATATTATAAAATGTCAAGTAAATTATTAATATTTATATTTACAATCATACTATATTAATTAAAACAATACACTGGTTCTAATTAACACACTTTTATTCACATATATTGTGTTTTTAAAATCAAATTCTAATAAATATTAGATCAAAACATTTATTTTAAATAATTTTTATAATTTGGTTTAAATTATTTTCATAAATCGAAATATTTATATAGTAAACATGACATCAGGCGAACCTAAATATTGCGGTATATCAAATTTAAATTATATTGGTAAATTAAGGTTTGTTTAATTTTATATGATCCTAAGCAAAGTTAATTATAGATTCAGAATTGTTAAGGGTTATTTTCTAGATAAAAATAATAATTTGAAGTACAGTATAATAGTAATAAAATACAACTGTGACTATCAGACTTTTATAATATTATTCAATATTTAGTTTTGACATAATTCCTTTGTTATCTTTTGATAGATTTTCCTAAGATGTGTGAATGTGATTATATGATGATGTTACTTATTCAATTTATTCAATCAATAAATGGTTCAATATTAACCACTGAATGGGAAAATGACAGTAACCCCAATTTTTCAACAGGTATTTTCTAATAATTTGTATTATAACCAAGTAGTCGTTTTTTTTAAATTACTATTTAATGATAAATAAAAATCTTAGGAGTTTGTTTATATGTATTATCAAAAACTAAAATAACTTTCATAAGAAATTAATTTTATTAATGGAATATAAATCGTTTAAATAATTTTAAAATATTGTAGTTACGTTTACCTAAGTTGTAACATATAAAGCAATTATATTAATTTCTAATTGATCTTTTTATAAATTAATAAATGCTGATTAAATTTCTCCAGCATCTTTAAGAATAACTTAAGTTAAAATGTTACAACATAGGTCAAAGCAGGTAATACAATAACATATTTTTTATCTGAATTTGAAAAAAAATTTTGCTTTCATCAAGATTTTATTGAATAAAATTACAGTCAAAATATTTAGCTAAATATTTCATTAGTATGATTTTTCTCGTATATTCTTAATATAAAATAATATATAATCAAATGTAATTAATATTTAAGGTACTGTCAAATGAATTTTATTATTTGGATAATCGCTCAATTATAATTATATCTAAAATAGAATTTATTGGAGAATTTTAAAACTGTGTGACTTTTATTTAGATTAATTTAATTATTCGCAGCTTAATTATTTGGCATATAATATGTTATTTTTTCTCCAATTTATTCAAAGAAATTTCGGTAACTCTTTCATAAAATCTATTCTTTTGATTCCTTAGAATTATTTATAGTAGATTTTTGATAGCAAAAACTGGTATCCTATTCAAGATGAATGGTATAAATAATTTGATAGAAAGTGGATCTAATTTTGGGTGAATATTTGGGCTTCTCTGAATAATATTTAATTAATCTCAGCTGAAATTTTTAATTATTTTGCATTTATTATAATTCAGGTATTATTGTTATTAATATCAACTATATGACAAAATTTGACTAAAGCTTTTCTGAAAAAATTTCGGTGAAAAAGTTGACTGATAACTATTTCCTCTTTTTATTATATCATTATTATTAAATCGAATACCGATCCTTTTATTATAGTAAAGCTAATCATTACAATCGGACAACCTCAAAATTTAGGTACAAATTCTGATATTTTATTATAAATATGAAATTAAAGTTAAAAAATAAAATATTGTAGTGGTTCATCCATGCTTTTATTTTTTTCCTTACTATTATTAAATCATAATAAAATTTTCATTTAAAAAATTTGATTCATGCCAATCTCAATATACTATATTTTAAATTTATATATGTGTTCAAAAAAAATATATTAAAAATTATTAAGAGTTATTTAAATAAAGATAATGATTTATAAAAATTTCCAATAAGTTAAAGGAATTTATTAGTCATTTTACTAAGATTATGTATATATAAATTAAAATTTTACTATGATCTCGTAGTTTACTTAAGAAAAGTTATATCTTTCACAAATCGCTTAGAGGATTTCCATAAAGTGCTGGTTTAATACATATTAAACTACTGTTTGGAAATATTATGGTTTGTCTTAATTACTAATTTATTTTAATATATTTAACTATTTTGTTCATGGCCATATATTATTATTTTCATTTTGTATTTATAAATTAGCCTTCAAATAAAGAATACAACTTATTTTTAATTATTTATTATATAATTTACTTGAAAATGTATTATAACCTTTGTATATACCATATCCTTAATATAAAATTTGGCATAAAAGGATTAAGAAAAAAAGAGTTATGAGGTGAATTGACAATGTTACTTATAAATAATGCTTTTTTGTTAAGTTATATGAAAAAATGTTGATTTACAAATATTTTGATTTATATTGTAATCACAATAAATTAACATCAATATAATAACTAAAAATATTAGTAAACACTTTATGCCTTCAAACTCCAAATTTAGGTAAATTATTATGTTTTTTGTTTATTTTCTATACATGTTTAATAGTATGTAATCAATACCTTAATTAATTTATCGAGGTTATTTAAAAAGTTTACAAAACTATTTGGATTAAAATAGATTATAGATAGAAATTTAAACTATTAAAACATAGTCCATACAATTTAATGTTGCTCTGTGACTTTTTTTTTCTTACCGCTAGATAATAAGATATGTTTATTTTTATTAAATATTTCCCATATTTTATTTATAAAAGTTTATAATTATTCGGTAGTTATAAATTAAAATAATTTTTAAAAAACTATTAATAATATTTTAAATAATTATATTTATAATAGAATAAGATATTTTAATTGTGTAATAATATAAAATAGTCCTAGAATATCCATCTCAACACCCAGACATTGTAAAATAACATGAATATGTGCCGGTGAATGATAAATAAGATTTAATAACTTTATCAAATAAAAAATATATTTATTAACTTTATTGACTAATTTCTTTTTCTTTTCTTAAGGTATTTATACGTTTTATAAAATATAAATTAGAATATAAAAAATAAAATAATATAAAAAAAGTAAAGTTAAACCGAAAGTTATATAAATAAGGTTACGCAAAATAATAAGTAATATAAGTTGAATTACAAAAATAAAAAGTTAAGTTGAAAAGATAAATTTGAATTCATAAAATGTAATATAAAAATAAAATTAGATTACAAAAATATATAATTATAATAACGCAACATTCTCCCTCTTCTGATAATTTCATCGGAGAAGACACAGAGAGTTTGTTGTCCAAGTGGTTTATCGTTTTGGTAATCAAGTTGTATCACAAATCATCATAACGTTGGCTTGTCCAATCGTTGGTTTGTATAAATCGATTTTGCACGTTGGTTTGTTTAAATCGCAAGCTTGATATCCATATCGTAAATTGTCTCCATTAATCATAGCTTGTTTGATAGTACTCAATTGTTAATTGTCATTTTTCCGAAATTGTTATTATCATAAATAAGTTGCGAATAAGAAATAATAGTTCATCATAAGAATAAATGAAGAATGATAAATCAATAAGATTGTTATATTTTTAGCGTTTTAATATAAGCGTTTTAATATTTAATTTAGTTTATGCAATTTAATATTTATTTTATATTTTAAGTTACATAGTCTTTTAAATAAGCAGGTTTATTTTTAATTCGCACAGGTCTAGAGATAGGTGTTATATCGTTATTATCAGTAATTTTTATATTTTTGTCCATACTTCCCTCCTTAAAAGAATCCTTAGAGTCATTATTAATAATTGTGTTCAAACAGTTTCTAATTCTTATTTGATCTAAATGTCTCCTCAAAATACCTTTCTCAGTCTTAATTTGGAACATCATATCACTTTCTTTATGTGTGATCATACCATTTATCATCACCTTGTATTTTATACCAAACAAAATCTCCTACGTTAAAAGTTCTATTTCGTGGTAAAGTGACGTTTATCTTATTCTTATTTTCCTCCATCGGTTTTAATAAGTCCCATTTAATTCTAATATCACGATTAAACATTCTCTGTGATGGTGTAACTCCTGTAGTATCATTACGCGTATTTCTGTAATTAAGTAAAAATTTGCTAAGTGCGATATCTGGGTCTACTTTAATATTCCTTTTCATGTGTTTTAAACGTTCTAACCATGCGTTCAACCTGGCCATTAGATTGCTGGTGATAAGCAGATGTAAGCACATGTTTAATACCAAAATTGTTGCAAAATTTTTCAAAATCGTTACTCGTAAAGTTAGTACCGTTATCAGTAACTATAGTTTCAGGTATTCCGTATAGCGAAATAGTTTTAAAGATTTCTTTTAAAGTAACATTAGTCGTAATATTTTTAACAGGAATAATAATTGGAAATTTGCTATAGGCATCGACTATTATCAACCAATTTTTTGTGAAAAACGGACCCGCATAATCTATATGTATCCTTTCAAACGGTTTAGTTGCCGAAACCCATGGTTTTTGTATCTTTATAGGATTATCGTGATATATATTACAATCGTCACAACTTTTCACTTCCGTAACAATATCATTATTTATGCCAGGCCACCACATGTAATCTTTGGCTAAGGATTTGATTTTTCCTGCTCCCAAGTGACCTTCATGTAATGACTGTAGTATAGTTTTTCTCATGGAAGACGGAATTATAATTTTATTGCTTTTGTAAAGACAATCTTTAATTATACTTAATTCCAATTCAATGTTTTTATAAATATTATTCATTATAGGTCTGTTGTTATTAATATCATTTATGACTTGTTTTAATTCCGTATCTTTCAAAGTTTCATCACGAATTTGATCAAAGTTAATAGGTAAATCCTCATATTCATTTATAATGGTTACATTTTCAATAGTTTCATCACGACATACTTGTGGTAATCTTGAAAGGCAATCAGGAACAACATTATATTTACCGGCTTTATACTTTATATAAAAATCATATCCTCCTAATGTAATATTCCACTTCTGGAGTCTTAACGACATGGTGCTATTATCCTTGAGACCCTTGGTGAAGATGTGAACTAGAGGCTTATGGTCAGTAATAATTGTAAATTTTGTGCCGATTAAATATTCCTGAAATCTCTTTATGGCAAACATTATAGCGAGAGCCTCACGCTCAATATTGGTATAATTCATTTCAGATTTTAATAAAGTTCTCGACGCGAAAGCTATAGGTTTTTCTTTACCATCTTTTTCAATATGAAATAGTACAGCTCCTAAACCACATTTTGATGCGTCAGTGGCTATCCCTATAGGTAATTCAGGGTTAAAATATGTCAAAGCAGGTGGAAGACTAATTAACTTCTTTAGATCATTAAAACTTTTAGAGTGTTCTAGATTCCAAGCCCATTTTTCTTTATTGACAATCTTATAAAGAGGATCGGCAATTTCCGCAAAATTGTTCAAAAATTTTCTATAGTAGCCAGCCATTCCCAGAAATGTTGATAATTCAGCAGCTGATTTTGGTTCTGGCATATTAATTATTGCTTCAATTTTGTCGTGATTAGCATGAATCCCCTTAGCGTCAATATCATGACCCAGGAACCTCACTTTGTTTTTAAAGAACACACTTTTATTAAAGTTAGGTATTAGCCCAAACGATGATATTCTATCGAACACTTTTTTTATGTTGTTTAGGTGGGCTTCATCGTTTTTTCCAGTTATAAGTAAATCATCAATATAAAATATAACGTCATCCATGTCCCCGAAGATTTGATCCATAATCTGTTGAAAAATTGCAGATGAGGTCTTAAGCCCAAAAGGAAGTCTAGTAAATTGGTAATATCCCTTATGCGTAGATATGGTTAAAATATTTCTGCAACTTTTATCAATTGGAATCTGTAAGAAAGCATTTTTAAAGTCAATCTTCGTAAATTTCTTTCCTTCCGAAAGTTTAGCAATTAGATCATTAATTCGTGGTAGAGGGTATCTAAAGTCTTCTAGAGCTGGGTTTACAGTATCCTTAAAATCAGCGCAAAGCCTAATGCTCCCATCTTCTTTATAGACAGCAGTAACAGGACTTGCCCATCGGACATCATTCACCGGCTCAATAATTTTATCATGTATCCATTTTTTAAGTTCATTACTAACAAGA